GGTAATGAACTAAGTAACAACACCATTATATAGGTTGAAAGTAATAGCTTTTGCCTTTTTGTTCAATTATATTCATCTTTATCATTTGTTTAATGTCAAATAAAGTCATGCTTGTTAATGATCTGTATCTTAAAACTTGAAGAATGATTGGAGATATAACAAACAGTATAAAGTAGGATAAGACCATGTCAATTGGTGTGGTTACTATTCTTGCTTCTGGCTCTTACAAGCAAACAATCACCAGTATCCATATCCAAATAGCAAGGGTGTGTCTATTGAACAATTGGTTGATGGCCTTCATGCCTTATGGATGTTGGTTTTATTTGTATAACTTTTGCTCACTCAATATAAAGCCAAAACCATGCACAGGTTTAAAGAGAACATGTTCTTAGCTTGTCTATAAAAGTGACTTTCAATGCAGTCCACAAAGATTTTTAAGTGGAGAATCTTGGCTCCAACAAAAGAAAGATTGCTAAATAGTTCACATATAAAATTTATTTTATTTAGAGCTACTGAATTTCTCCTCATTAATTAAAAATTAAATCGAGAATAGTTGTCAAAATTATTGTTTCTTGTATCAAAACCTATTAGATTAATTCTCCTTAAAGAAGGCAACAACCATGATCAATCTTTTGAACAAACCCTTCTTATGAAACTGTAGCACCCATTGATATATATTTCATTTAGGTTCGGTCCCTTTCAAGGAAATGCCAAAGAAAAGCATCAAGTATTTATTTTAATTACATTTCTAGCAATGAATTTTGTTCTTTAGCTTTTCTTGGATGTTTATGTGACTATCCAATCTCATGTTGAGATAATTTGAGGTTTTGATATGATATATATATATATATATATATTTAATCTCAACGCCTTCAATAATCTCCTCTTCAAAATTTAAGGGGATTATTGAAGGCTTGTTTTGCTTGAAACGCCTTAATAATCACTTCATAAAAAATATAAAAAAATTATTTAAGGCATTTTTTTACAAAAAATGTCTTCAATAATCCCCTCTAAAAAATTGGAAGGGATTATTGAAGGCGTTTTTTTTTTTTTTATCAAAAACATCTTCTATAATCCTTGTAGAAAAAATGAATTATTAAAGGCATTTTAGATAGAAAACGCCTTCAATAATCCCCTTTAAAAAATTGGAGGGAATTATTGAAGGTTTTTTTCCCCGAAACACCTTCAATAATCCCTCATAAAAGATAGAGGGGATTATTGAAAGCTTTTTTGGCAGAAAATGCATTCAATAATCTTTTTTAAAAAATTGGAGGAAATTATTGAAGGCATTTTAGCAAAAAAATTAGAGGAAATTATTCAAGGCATTTTTGGCTAGAAACATCTTGAATAACCCCATTCAATTTTTTGTAAGATATTATTCAAGGCATTTTATGGCAAAAAATACCTTAAATAATCCTCAAAAAATATTGGAGGGGATTATTAAAGGCATTTTTTGTCAAAAACGCCTTCAATAATCCCTTTCAATTTTTAATGGAAAAGGATTATTTAATATGTTTTTAGCCAGAAATGCCTTAATTAATCCTAAAAAATAAAATTGAAAGAGATTATTCGAAGCATTTTTAGTCAAAAACACCTTTAATAATCACACTTTTCCTTTGCTAAATTTTTCTTAAATTCAAACTCATGAGACCACCTTTTTGTTTTTCTTTCCCTTACTCATTTCTTCCATTTTTGCTCATTTTTGTCATTTTCTTCTCATTTTTTGCTTAAGTTTCAGTCATTTTGTAGCCAATTTTCATCTTTTTTCCTTTCGTTTTTGCAAATTTCAAGTTAACTTTCTTGCAATTTGGGTTAAATCCCTAAACTTCCTGTCTGATTTGTTAGGTCAAATCCCTAAATTTTCTATTTGATTTGTTGTGTGTCTGTTGTCGTTCAAGCTCTATTGGTAAGCTTCATTTCAACATTGGCAATTTTTAGTGTTTAGCCTTTCTTTTTCTTTTTTTTACCAATTTATTTTTTTTATTGTAGTTCTGAGTTTGGTTTTGTTTGGTTGGTGAGAAAAATTCAAGATAAAATAGAAAGTGAAAGAAATAGGGTTTGTCTTTGAAAAACTTGAAATTGAACATTGAATTTAGTTACAAACACGAATAAAATTTTAGGTTTAGTTTTTTTTTTCAACAAAATATTTTTTAAATTACTAAAAAATTGTTACTTGTTAACATGAATTTATTGATTCATTCAAGATATCCTTAGGAAACCATCTGAAATAGTCTATTATGTTTTTTTTTTAGCTCATCTTGGCATTTGTTTTGTTTGTTTTTTCCGATCATGGTGTTTGATGAAACGACTTAATCTTGCTTGAAAGGATTCCTTGTGCATGAAAAACCATCAATAATAGAAGATGGTAGTGACCAAGGTGGGAAAAATCTTTCATCAAATGGTAGTGTTCCAAATCTATGCAGTCATCAATTTCATACATTTTAAATTTTTTGTTAATGTACTAAAATAATTTGAATGTTATTGCATGTTTTAAACTTTGTGTTCCATCCATATGGGAACAAATTCTATATTTATAATATTCAGTTTATGAATTTAAGTTTTTTTTTTATTTCTTTTAATATTTTTTATTTAATGATAATAATCAATATTAAAAGAAAATTAAAAAAAATAAATTTCTTAATTTAGCAACATTTGTACATAAAAACGCCTTTAAATACCAAAATGTAGTGGCACTTTCTACTATAAACGCCATAAATTTAGTGGCGTTTATACTATAAATGCTTCTAAATTTAATGGTATTTTATGATAAAAACACCACTAAGTTAGTGGAATTTTTCTAAAAATGTTGCTATTTTCCCCGATACAAGTATAGGTGGCACTCTTAGTGGCGTTTATAAACGCTGCTAAATATGAAAAAAAAAAAAAAAAAGCTATTAAAAGCCTAATCCCCTGTAGTGTCTATTTGGAAGAGCAATCAACTGCTCTTATCTAGGTTGCATTGGGCAATCAACTACCCTGAAGAACAATGAACTACCCAACATAATTTGAGTTATTATTTCTAAAAAAACGCTTAAGGCAGTTGATTGCCCTTACATAGAGTCGACTGCTTAAAATTCAAAAAATAAATACATGACGTGTTCTTTCAAGCCAAAAAAGATGCTACTTCGTTCAAAAGGTGCTTATTCATAGAAGGAAATTTAAGATGTCTTTTGGGACTATAAATACTTCTCTAAACACGCATTTCATATATTTTTATATTCTTTCAAATTAAAATTCATAATTTTGCTTCTTTCACTATATTTTCTGATTTTGATACAAAGGAGTTTACAGAAAAATTTGAAGTGCAATCATCTTCTTTTTCATTGGATATTGTATATTGGGAACAACATTTCTTGTAATCATCTTACACCTAGTGGAAAAACAATTGTTCTAAAAAAATGTTTCTTGAAAGAGTGTTGCCCAAATTCTTCTTCTATTTCCTTTCATCTTCAATAAAGTTGAATGGTTGCCATTGACATACATACAACATTTCCTCCTAACGGGATTAAAATGGGGGATTGTTGAGCACATGAGAGTGCCATGCGGGTCCAACCCCATGGAATGGTTAAAAAGTCACGTTAGGTGACTGGTGTTATTTAATTGGATGGCTTTGATGATGCCACATATGATTGTCCAAGGGACAAGACATAAAACAACAAAATGTTTCTTTGGACAGCCGAATGTGGTCTTTGGCGTGTGAAAAGTGGTGAGCGACTATAAGGTGAGAAAAGAGAGCAACAGCAGCTTGGTTTTGGTCAAGGCGGCAGCCAAACCAAAGGGAAATTAAAGTGAGTTTTCTTGTTCGATAGAAAGAGCAAAGAGACGAATAAGCTATAGAACAATTGAGTGTTTCTTGGGTAGATTAATCGGTGAATCCAAAGAGGTAAAGATCATTGTTTTATTTCAATTGTTGTGAATCTTAAGCTGTGGCCAAAAAATTTGAGATATTAAAACTTTTTAAATGCTTTTTTTTAATAGTGAATTTTTTAATCAAATTGTCCCGTGATTTTTCTTCTCTATTTTGGAGAATTATTCATGTTAAAATTGGTGTTGCTTTATTTCCACGTTACTGCCTGCAGTTACATCTTTTGATTTGTCTGTCGATTTACTGATTGACTTAGCTTGATTGTTATATTATTCTTGTTGGCTTAGGTTTTATTGTCTATTTGTTCAGTATATTGTCATATCGTGCTTACACGTTGTTGATGGTTGCTTGGGTCCAACAAAATTTACTTTTATTTATTAGACTTTTTATATATTTACTAATTTCTTAGATGATCATTCCATGCACCATCAGTAAAGCATTAAAACTTAAACAAATGGAGTTAGACTATTGCCTCATATTTTTTATTTATCATATTAATTTATTAATTATTTTGAAATATACCTTAATCTTGTATGTAAACCATGATGAAGTTTGAAAACTCCATTGATGGTTTATTATATAATTCTATATTTTAAAATTTTTTTAAGAATAACATTTGTGAAATTCAGCCCAATTATAATTGCTTCTCAAATTTAAGATTGTTAAAGCCTTGAATTTCAAATTCTGAAGTCAGAAAAAGTTAAATTTGTAATTCTAGAATCAAAAGATTTAAAATACAGATTCAATCCAAATTTAAGTTCCTAAATGCAAGCACGAGTCTCTGTTTTGCCAGCAGAGTTTTGATATCTTATTATGACATAAACTTTATTATAAATTAGATAGTAACACAATGAAGTTACTGTCCAGGAAAATTACCCTTGAAAAAGAAAAAAAGGAGATACAACTTCCAAGAGAATGACTGAACGGTTGCGTGATCTGTTTGTAGAGTGCTAAAACTTTTATTTCCAATAATCAAAGTTCAAATTTTGACAGTCTCAATTATAAAAATGAATTTCCAAGAGAATGAATAGAAGAAATGCCCTGGGCAATTGTTTTCTCTGCTTTAGAGTTATCTAGAAAACAATATCTATTTGCCTCTTGCATTAGTACTAGTGATTAATGTGATGTGTTATTGAGTTAATGAAGTAGTCGTAGAAGCTTTACCATTACGATTTATGGGGAAGGAGGCGGACTGGGAGTCCTTTCGCTGGCATTGGCATTGGATCCACTATTATCTTCTCATCAGGTATCAGCTTTTCCCAATTAAACTTTTTGATTAAATTGTGCATGAACACAAGTATCTCCAGACGGGCATACTCTTTTCCAGGACACATTCTAGGTCCTCCTCCAAATGGAACATATGTATAAGGAGCTGGTCCATTCCCTTCAAATCTTGCAGGATCAAACTTCTCAGGCTCTGGAAACCACTTGGCATTTTTGTGTGTTGAATTCACATTCCAGTGTAACTGAATCCATTCAAAACCAGCAAGGTTAATGTTGTCTTTAACAACACTATATAAATGACATGGAATTGTAGTTTAGATTTTTTTTTTTTTTCAAATGAAGTAACCTTCCAACCCTTGGGAATGGAGAAACCAGCAAATGTGAAGTCAGTGATGGCCTCTCTGAAAGCACCCTGAAGAGGAGGAGCAAGTCTCATCACTTCACAGGCGACATTCCATGAATATTTCATCTTTTGAATGTCTTCCCAGTTTAGCAACTCCCCTTGTTTTTTGGATCGTGCAATCTCTATCTGTTCTGCCAGACAGAAAAAACGTGGATCAATATATTTAAAATGAATATCTAACGAACTCCTTCACATTCCATGTTTGTGGATATCTGAGGAAGGAGTTGTATCATATTCCAAATTAGTAAGTCTAGAAATCTTAACCTAAAGGTTCATTTATTCTAGAATTCATTAAGATTTCAGCAAGACATTTAATTAGTATTCGTCTAAATTACTTTAAATTAGAAGTGGCAAATAGACGACTCAAGTCGGGTTTCAGGGATGAAGAAAAGTTATATAATTTTGGACTCAATTCAAGTAAAAAAAAAAAGAAAACGAAAAATCAGATCATTTTGAGTTCAGAAGATTTTAGATTTACGTCAATTTGGATTGAGATAATTTGATTTTGGATTTGATCTTCAAATTATTAGGATTTAATTTAACACTATGGTTATTCATATTTAATTTGTTAATTTTTAAAATCAAATAAATATAATTAAATTATATAAATATTAAAATATTAAAGTTAAATAAGTAACTAATTTTTTATTTATCCATGCAAATGCATGAATTTTTTATATTTATAATAATATTTAATTTAATTTATTAAAAATCTACGTAGAATTTTTGTAGATTCAAAATTTTATTTTTATTATTAAATATTTGTATTTTCTCTTTTTTTATTTTTTATTAAATTTATATATTTAATGTTAAAATCTTTGATTTGATTTTTAATTTCATAAATTGAAAGTATAAAAATTTATAAAAAATATAATTTATCAACAAAATTTTCAATAAATTTTTTACCTCCATTTTAATTTAGAGAAGTATATTAATAAGTATTCAAGACATTGAAATTTTTAATTAAATTCGTGTCATAAATTTGATTACTTAATTGGTAAAAAAAAAATTGCTATATCAAAAAAGGTTTACATAAAATCCAAATGTAGTAAGTATTTATAGATTCCAAGAAATTATAAGAAAAACTAATAATTAAGATAATGTTGGGAATATTGACTCAAATCTCATAAGAGATTTGTTTGGGATTTGTCAGATATTGCTTGATGGACAAGAAGACTTGCAAAAGAAAAATTCCAAGAGAAAGAGGATTCTTAATAGGTAAGTTTGACTTGCAAGAGAAGAATTCTAAAAGGAAAGGGATTCTTAATAGGCAAGTTTGACTTACTAGGAGAATAATTCTAAGAGGAGAGGGATTCTTAATTGAGCAAGTTTGTATGGTATAAATAGGTGAAGTCTCTACAGGGTTAGGTATGAGAAAAAAAATGTAAGAGAGTTGTAGGGTTTTGTGGGATAGACACCCCATAAGAGTATTGGGGCTCTACGTCTTATGGGTGTGTATGTTTGTTTGTGAGTGGACTAGAGGAGATTGAGAGGGTCCACATAGGTATGATGTATGGGAGCATATGGGTATGTATTTGGTTGTGTTGAAAGAGTGCACAAGGGTTTGGGTTTGTGTTGTTTGGGTAGAGAATACTTCATAGGACTAGAGAAGATTGAGAATGTCTTATGAGTATTGATTGTTGAGTGAGGTTGATGATATGATGTATGTTTGTAATTCTCTACAACTAGTGAATCTTGTTTCTCATCCGTGGATGTAGGTCAGTTGGACCGAACCACGTTAAATTGTTGTCTCTTATGTGTTTGATTTATTGTTTGATTTTATTTCCGTTGGTGTGATTAGATTGGAGGCTTTTAGCCCAACAAATGGTATCAGAGCTGTGGTATTTTCCAACAAGTGGTATCAGAGCTGTGGTGATCCCCAACAAATGGTATCAGAGCTGTGGTATTACTCAACAAATGGTATCAGAGCTGTTGTGTTCCCTAACAAGTGGTATCAGAGTTGAAGGTTTGAAATATAAGAAGAGTTGAAGATTCAAGATGTGAAAAGAGCTTAAGGTTCGAGATGTGGGAAGAGCTGAAGGTTCGAGATATGGGAAGAACATGGTTTGAGACATGGGAAGAGGCAAGCTTAAAAGAACGTGATTCAAAAAAAAAAGTTTGAGTTTGTGTTTTGAGGATTGAAGGATTGATTTGTATGAAGCGTGAAGACACAAGAGAAGAGAAGATGATTGTAAGACTTTCATTACAGGTGGAGTCAAGCATGTCTAGCATGAAGACAGATGATTGATGGAATTTGAGTCAAGGTGGAGATTGTTGGGAATATTGACTCAAATCTCATAAGAGATTTGTTTGGGATTTGTCAGATATTGCTTGATGGACAAGAAGACTTGCAAAAGAAAAATTCCAAGAGAAAGAGGATTCTTAATAGGTAAGTTTGACTTGCAAGAGAAGAATTCTAAAAGGAAAGGGATTCTTAATAGGCAAGTTTGACTTACAGGAGAATAATTCTAAGAGGAGAGGGATTCTTAATGAGCAAGTTTGTATGGTTATAAATAGGTGAAGTCTCTACAGGGTTAGGTATGAGAAAAAAAATGTAAGAGAGTTGTAGGGTTTTGTGGGATAGACACCCCATAAGAGTATTGGGGCTCTACGTCTTATGGGTGTGTATGTTTGTTTGTGAGTGGACTAGAGGAGATTGAGAGGGTCCACATAGGTATGATGTATGGGAGCATATGGGTATGTATTTGGTTGTGTTGAAAGAGTGCACAAGGGTTTGGGTTTGTGTTTGTTTGGGTAGAGAATACTTCATAGGACTAGAGAAGATTGAGAATGTCTTATGAGTATTGATTGTTGAGTGAGGTTGATGATATGATGTATGTTTGTAATTCTCTACAACTAGTGAATCTTGTTTCTCATCCGTGGATGTAGGTCAGTTGGACCGAACCACGTTAAATTGTTGTCTCTTATGTGTTTGATTTATTGTTTGATTTTATTTCCGTTGGTGTGATTAGATTGGAGGCTTTTAGCCCAACAGATAAAGTATAACTAAAATTTAACAATAAAGTCGATCAAAAGAATAGAGGAATTTGAAATTGAAGAAAAAATATGATTTAGAAAGTCAAACCGAAAAAAATTCATCAAATTCTAAGTCATTCTTTAATCCCTTAAACATTTATATTCTCCATGTATACAAGCACCATGTTTCTATTCATTATAAAAAAAAGAATGACAAAAAAACTCCAATTTAAAATTTTTATCATCATAATAGAATAGAATTTAGAGTAACAACAATAGAACTAAGATATATTAAACAAAAATCATATGAAAATCAAGAAATGAAAACTTAAAAAAAAAAATCATGTACCTCAAGAAAACAAAAAAATGATTTTTTTTATGAAAATATCCATTATTTATTCTTATTAATCATATAAATCATTATAAAAAATAAAAATAGGAAAATTTATGGGAGGAAATAGTGTTTTGAAAAAGAAATATGAATAAAAAATAATTTTAGATGCAGCATTTGAAGAAATTTGGAATGGAAGTTCTAAAGAAAAGAGTATTAGATAGACTAAAATAGCCAAAATCTATTATGTGTTCAATTATACATAAAGTATTTTAAAATATAAATAATTGAATATGTTTTTATTATTTTATTTAAATGGATGTTTTATCTGATTATTTAATTGGAGATTTAGAAAATGTATTAAGATGGATATTTTTAAGTTTTTAAATCAAAATTTTTAAATATTCATGCATGCTCTTATCAATTTAAATAAATATGAATATTTTAAATGGATTTAAATAATACTAAATAAAGTAAATAATCGTGTATCCTTTTATTTGCTTTCAAATTAATATTTAAATATTTATTGTTATTTAATAATTTAATTTAAAAGTTTTTGATATTTGATTATTATGATAATAGATATTGTAATTATTTATTATTATCTTATGTGTCATCTGAAAAAACTATTCACTAAGCATTTATGTAAGCAAACTTTATCAGATTTATATGTATATTATAATATAATATTATATATGATATGCTAATAATATGAAATTATATTACGTTAAATATAAAATTAACTTTGTTAATGATAAAAATTTATTAATGATTTTTATTAATTGATATTTATTATTTTCAATATTTCATGAATTAACTATTAATTTATTGTTAGTAATTGGTATTGATATTGAATACAATTATATCGGTCCACATACTTAATAATAATGAATTGAAAATGAGCAAATAACTAGATAATTTCAAAATACCTTACCATCAAAATCATCAACAAAGAGTATGATAATGTTAAGAAAAGTACGATTCGCCAGTATTGATTACTTAATAGATATAATGGTGATCTAATTATAACACTTTAAAAAATTATCTAAAATATCAAAATTATTTGGACATAGTGTTATTCTAATTTAAATAATTGAAATTTTGAACAACAAGTAGTAAAAATATACAATAAAAAAAATGAAGATAACATAATTACTTTTGACTATTAGCGTTACACGAAATGACATAATATAACTTGATGTATTTGGCTTAAGTTTGAAATGAATATGAGAGTAGTGATCAAATGCATAGTACTGATCAAATGCGTGCCTTATTAAATCTAATTAAACCTTTTATTCTCCTATATTTGCTTTTGTACCTTCTAGTTCGTTGCAAGTAAATATAAGTAGGACTTTACTTGTGCACCTAGGTATAAAAATGTAATTGCATTAACATTTTCCAGCTTGAAGCTTTAGTTTTGTTTTACTAGTTGCTTAGCCAGTCGTGTCTGCCAATATTTTATACTAATTAAATCAATGAAAATTAAATGCTTTTGGTGGCAATAGGAAACTTATTTGTTCTTTAACGAAGAAAGCTCACTTTCATGTTTTAAAGAGAGCCGATTTATGGAAAAAGTAGTAGATAATAATAAACAAGCCAAGCTGGTGCTGTATACGTCAAATTTAATTTCGCGCTTGACAAAAGATTTCCATAAGGAACGATTTTTTTTTTTGCAAAAGAAGGAACGGAATAAATTATAGCATTATTGAAGCAAAATAGAACAAAATTTTTCTAGAAAAGGGGAAGGGTTTAGAAAATGACCTTTGTAAACCTCATTGTAGATGTTAGGATGCTCAGCAAGATACTTGACAACGAAAGTAATGGCAGCACTAGCAGTGTCATGTCCAGCAATCAACAGAC